ATAAGTCTGGGTTTAAGCGGCGTTTCCTCAGATTTCACAGTCTGCGTGTTGCAAGTGTGTGTGCAGGGGAAGCAATCCCTGCCTAGTCAACTGTCTGTCCCGGGTTATTGGAATCTTTAAAACAGGCAGCAAGGAGAAAATTACATGGCCAAATCTCCTTTTTCCAGTTAATGAAGAATTAAGACTCCTATTTACCATATTAGAAGGTTCATCGGGGGTCCAGGCACTCCATAGCTGGCGTCTGACAGCAGTGTCAGTTTATCTGAGTCCCAACGCTGGAGTACATGACAGAGGATCATTCGTAACTGTCCCATCTACTTACTGCTCTCATTGTCACATGGCTAAGGGAATTCAGGTGGTGGAGTTGCCTGCCTCTGTGTCCCCACTCAGGCCTGGTCCATGAGAAAGGCAATCCAAGGCATATTCACATCCTATAATCCTGCAGGCACATTGTGAGGGGACAACATTGTCAGCTGGCTTCGTGCAGTCTCACCATCAGGGAAAGAGACATTGTTTCACTGGGATGAACACTCACACAATGGCATGTGTCACTTTAGAGGAATGGCTGAACAGAAAAATTGTATGAGTCCGTGGGTTCGGGGGCAGGTTAACATCAAGTGTCCTCCTCAATGGCTCTCCACCTTCTGTTTTGAGACAGAGTCTCTCAATGAACTTGAAGCTTGCCAATTTGGCTCATCTGGTTGAGCATTAAGCTCTAGGGACCCTCCTGTCGGTGTCTTCTGTGTGCTAAGATTATAGGCACATGCTTATTAAAGAGTAGGCTGAAGGGATCAAACTCACGTTCTCATGCTTGTATGGCAAGTATTATATTGACTGAGCCATCTCTCTAACCCATGAAAAAATTTTTTTGATGGCATTACAGTATACAATAGTGACACCAAAAAGAAACTTTAGAATTTTCCTTTGATAATGAGAAACAATTTCTTGGGTGCTAGAGGGCTTCAATATGAAGTTTGCTATGACAGAAGAGTTGATATAATGATGTCTATAACAGTAGATTTTGGAGACAACATATCACAAAAAGAAAGCACAGTATAATTTACAAACATTACTGCCTAAGTAACATATCTGCATAAAAGTAGCTGAGTTATTGAAATAGCACCAACATTAAAAGCCAGAGTTTCTGTGAAGAATCCTCAACACACTCTCAGACAATAGGCAACTTGCAAATGGAAATGTGGGTTGTGGCTCAAAGCTGACCCCACAGGACAGGGTACGGGGTCTTTATATCCCAGGCTCCCGTGAAACCAAAGGAAACTTAGCAACTACCAAATGCTATTTATAATAGGTATGCAAAAGCCTAGTATGCAAAGCAAAGCCCAGGACAGACTCTGTCTCAAAATATCAAAAATTAAGACAAAATACAAAGAAGCAGGGAATGCAATCATAGATTTCAAAGCGTGAAAAGACGTAGAGAACAGAGGAAGAGAGAGAGAGATGTGAGAAAAGCAGGAGAGGGAAAAAGGGAGGGAGGGATAAGGGAAGGGGGTGCCTCATTCAGCTTATTACCTGAACCCATCTACAAAGTTCTGGCAAAGAAGGCATGAAGCCAAGAACAGTTTCTTTCCTTTGGTGATTACTTCCCCAGTCAAATCTCAATGTTTCCTTGTATAGCTCATTTTTAATAGGCAGAAAGCCAGACAGAAAAACCTACTATTTTATTGTATTAGAAAAAGAGAAAATACGGAGTGAATTAAAAGGAAAATTGGCCA